TGATAAACTATCTGCATGCTGTTGTTAAGTGCTGTTGAGTCAGTTGTGACTCACAGTGACCCTGTGTAGGGTTTCCGAGGCTTTAAATCTTTGAGGGAGCAGAAAGTCTCATGGTTCTTCTGCAGAGCAGCTGATGGGCTCAAACCATGGACCTTGTGGTGTGCAGTTCAGTGCTTATTGTATGAAGCCCCTGCACTCACATCTGCATGCTAGAGGGTGGGAAATTAGCCTGACAAAGATTTAGTTACCTTCTACTCTGAAATATCTAGGGGTTCAGTGATGTGGGACATGTTGAAATATTCCTAGTAAAGTGAAAAATAAGTTATAGCATCTGACCCCTCCCACAACTAAAAAAAAAAGGCACAATGCCTGGTGGGCCTCTTTGGATTTTGGAGGCAACGTATGCCTCATTTAGGCATGCTACTCTAGCCTATTTATCAAATGACTTGAGAAGCTGTTAATTGTGAATGGGGTCCAGAACAAGATGAGGCCCTGCCACAGGTTCAGACTGCTGTGGAAGCTGCTCTGCCACTTGGACCATGTGATCCAGCTGATCCAATGGTACTTGAAGTGTAGTGGCAGATAGAGATGCAATTTGGAGTCTTTGGCAGGCCCCTACTGGTGAATCACAGCATGGACGCTTAGGATTTTGGAGCAAAGCCTGGCCATCCTCTGCAGTTAACTACTCTCCTTTTGAGAAACAGCTTTGGGCTTGTTACTGGGCCTTAGGAGAGACTGAATGCCTAACCATGGACCCCCAAGTCACCATGTAACTGAGCTACCCATTATGAACTGGGTGTTGTCTACCTACAATGTCATAAAGCTGGGCATGCACAGCAGCACTCCATCATTAAATGGTTTGAGCAGGACCTGAAGGCACAAGTAAGTTGCTTGAGGAAGTTGCTTAAATGCCCATGGTCTCGGTTTCTGTCACATTACCTTCCTTCTCTCAGTCTATGCCTATTACGTCATGGGGAGTGCCTTAGATCAGTTGTCTGAGGAAGAGGAAACTCAGGCTTGGTTTATAGATGGTTCTTCATGATATGCAGGGCCCACTCAAAGTGGACAGCAGCAGCACTACAAGCCAGTTGTGTGACTTCCCTGAAGGACAGTGGTGAAGGGAAATCCTCTCAATGGGCAGAACTTTGAGCAGTGCACCTGGTTGTTCATTTTACTTGGAAGGAGAAATGGCCAGATGTGTGACTATAGAATGGTTCATGGACTGTGGCCAGTGGTTTGACTAGATGGTCAGGGACTTTGAAGAAACATGATTGGAAAATTGGTGACAAGGAGGTGTGGGGAAGAGGTCTGTAGATAGACCTCTCTGAATGGGATAAAAAAGTAAAGATAATTTGTGTATCGTGTGAATGCACACCAAAGGGTTACATTGGCAAAGGAGAATTTTAACAATCGTTCTGTGGACACGAATCATTCTCTTTCTCCAGTCACTCCTGTCATTGCCCAATGGGCTCATGAACAAAGTAGCCATGATGGCAGAGACTGAAGTTATGGATGGGCTCTGCAGCATGGACTTCCACTCACCAAGGCTGACTTGGCTACAGTCACTGCTGAGTGCCCAATCTGCCTACAGCAGAAGCCAACACTGTGTCTGTGACATGGGGCCATTCCTCAAGCAGATCAACCAGCAACGTGGTGGCAGGTGGATTACATCAGACCACTTCCATCATGGAAAGGGAAGCATTTTGTTCTTACTGGAAAAGACATTTACTCTGGATATGGATTTGCCTTTCCTGCATGCAATACTTCTGCCAAAATTACCATCTATGGACTTACAGAATACCTTATCCACTATCATGTCTTATCCCAGACAGCATCACTTCAGATCAAGGGATCCTCTTTACAGTAAATGAAGTGCAGCAATGTGTCCATGCTCATGGAATTCACTGGAATTGCCATGTTCCTCATCATCCTGAAGCAACTAGCTTGATAGAACGATGCGAGGTCCTTCTAAAGAGAAAATTATGGCACCAGCTAGGTGCAATACCTTGTAGTGTTGTAATAATGTTCTCCAGGGGGCTGTATATGGTCTAAACCAGTATCCAATATATGGTGCTATTTCTCCAATAGCCATGATTCACGGGTCCAGTAACAAAGAGGTAGAAATGGGAGTGACACCATTTACTATTATTCCTAGTGACCCACTTGTAAAATTTTTGTTTCCTGTCCCTGTGACCCTATGCTCTTTGGGTCTGGACATATTAGTTCCAAAGGGGGGAGTACTCCCACCTGGAGATACAGCACTGATCCATTGAACTGAAAGTTAAGAATGCCTCCTGGCCATTTGGCTCTTCATGCCTCTTGATCAACATGCAAGGAAGGGGGTTACTGTATTAGGTGGTATGATTAATGCTGATTACCAAGGGAAAATTGGATTGACATTCATTAATGGAGGTAAAGAAGAATATGTGTGGAATCCAGGAGATTTCTTAGGGTATCATTTAGTTCTACCATGCCCTGTGATTAAAGTCAATGGTAAACTATAGTAACCCAATTCCCACATGACTACTAATGGCCCAGACCCTTCAGGAATAAAGGTTTGGGTACCCATCAGGCAAGGAACCAGGACCAACTGAGGTAGTTGCCAAGGGCAAAGTGAATATGGAATAGGTAGTGCAGGAAAATAGTTCTAGATACCAGTCACATGACCAGTTGCAGAAACGAGGACTGTAGTTGTTATGAATATATATTTATGTATATGCATAGGTATTTTATATGTGTGTATCAAATATTTTTTCTTTGTTAATTTGTGAAATGCAAGATAAAAATGGGGTCATTGCATTTTCAGTTGTACTTATGTTAGTTGTATAATCTTCGGTGCAAGTATGATTTCATGATTGTCTTTATTTAGAGACTGTGTATATGATTTAAGGAGCTATGCACAGGTGCCAAGTTGACAAAGGGTGAACTCTGATAGTTAATGTTTTGTGTCCACTTAACTGGGCCAGAATTGTCAGTAGCTTGGCAGTTGAGATGTAGTTATTTTCATAATGAAATCTAATATAATATCATTAACTTTATGAGCCAATCAACTGAAAGGATGTTTCCTCTGGGTTGTGGCCTGCTTCCAATAGATTGGATACTCAGGCAGAGGTTGACTGCTTGCTCTTGCATCTGGCTGGTCTTCCAATCTGTGCTTCTTTGGACTTGAGCCAGTGATCTGTTCTATTACCTGCCTGACTGTCTGCTGACAGACCTGCCTGCCTGCCCGCCATCTGACCTGTTGATCTTGGTTCATCTGATCCAGACTTGGGACTCTCACCTCTCTAACTATGTGAGCCATTTCCTTGATAGAAACTTCTCTCTCTCTCTCTCTCTCTCTCTCTCTCTCTATATATATATATATATATATATAAGCTTCACTGGTTTTACTTCTCTAGAGAACCTAGCCTAAGACAATTTCTCATTACATGATTGTTGTCATGTAATCGTCTTCATGATTGTCTGGTCACCTTTCCAGATTACTATAAAGACTTCTGGATCCTGATTCTCAGGGTCTTTCCCATGATCCAAGGAGTCATAAGAGAGGCTCTTCTAATGTCTTACAGTGCTTTGACCTTTACCTTGACTCCACTTCAGCTACCTATTCTCAGGTTCATCCTCTGGAACAATGCTACCTCTGAAACCTTCACATTCAGACTCCTTCTCTCAAACACAGCCCATCTCTCTTATAGACTCCTGTGTACCATTCTAGCTCCCAACCTCACCAGCTCCCGTGGCCTCATGATGCCTCCACTACTTAGAGGTCCTTTGTTCCTTACTGACCTCTCTCTGGCCTGGGCCCAATGTCTAGTCACCAGCTCACCATGGTTCTTCTGCACCTGTTCAGTAAAACCTGAGCTATCCTTCCTACTCACACACCTGGTTGCTAACTAACAAATTGGGGGATTAATGCTCAAGCATTCACGTCTTCAGGCCTTAGCTAAATCCTCAGCCATACTTGTCAGAGTTCCCACTGCTTTTGGTGGGTGACTTTCCCACATTCCCTCCAAGTCTTCATAACTCTCAACACTCTCAGTATACCATTTTGCTAAAATATCATGTAGAAAAAAGAAGTTATTAGCCTTCCATCAATAGAATTTTTATCTTGGGAAACTAGATATTTTGCCAACCACTAACTGCTTGAACACACTATGATTCTGCTCTCCCTGGAATGACCTCTTCTCTCTCATTTCCTCATCTTCTGTTCAATTAAATTCATATTCCTTTCAGATCTTATTTGCATGTACAAACCACCATGACTCCCAGGCTGGTCTAGGCACCCTTTGTCTGCATCCTCCCACCATCTGTATATGTCTCTGTGACCACCTCCCTCCCTCACCTGAATGAGAACCTGGTCCCATGGTTGATTTTTCTTTTTCTCTCAGCACACAGGCTGTTAAACCTCTGGGACATTCTATGTTTGTTAAATCAGTGACTGAATGACTTCATTTTGTAAGAAAAAGAGTTGCTAAAGGGTTTCAGGCAACCATCTTCCATATCATTAAGGTCCTTATTTTTCTCCAGGTCCTATGGATTCCTTGTTCTATAAAAGCCTCCCTAGTTCTTAAGACTTGAAGGTATGGTTAGGATAGAACAATAGGAATGAATGAGGTCTATCCAAGGAATTTCAGTCTCAAAAGTCCCCTGATTAACAGGGGGACAAGCTGGGTATAAACAAGGCAGAATAAAACTCATGCTAAAGGAGCTCTGGTAGCGTAGTGGTTACGAATCGGGCTGCGAACCTTAAGGTCAGCGGTTCGAAACTACCAGCCGCTCCGCGGGAGAAAGATGAGGCTTTCTACTCCCGTAAGGATTTACACCCTCGGAAACCCTGTACAGGGTCGCTATGGGTCGGAACCGACTCGATGGCACTTAATAACAACAACAAAGGATGGAGTGGAAGGAGATCAAGGGAAGCCTTCAGCCAGCTATTCAGGTAGTGTGCAGGCTGGTTGGCAGGCAAGCAGTGAGAGGGAGACCAGATTAGCGTTATGGAGTACCTCTTCTAGAAGAGTGGTTTTCTCCTGCAGCTTGGCTTCATAGAACTCAGTCAGCTCCTCCAGAGCCTGGCTCTTGATCTCATCATTATCCCGAAGCTGTTTTTCATACTCTTCTTGCATTCTCTGGGATTTGAGCTGTAACTCTTGGTACTTCTCATATTCTAGAAGCAGCTTTTGGTTGTTGCAACATTCTGAGAAGCAGCAGGGAGGTATTTTAAGTAGGAAGATAGCACCAACTTCAGGGACATCCAGGAACCTGGGGAGCTTTCCTTCCCTTTTCAGCACCAGCTAGAATAGCAGCCTCCAAAGTCAAGCTTCAAATGCCTGTTCATCCTCCTTACCTGGTTTCTGCTCCATCAGCTTATCACATAGACCAGTTCCCTCCCTTCCCCTTTTAGATTTTAGGACACTGCAGAGGAGCATTTGGAGTTCAGGGCCAAGATAAATGTCTGAGTGTGCAAAAATAAACATTAGTATCCCATTTTACAGATGATTAAACTGAGGTTCAATGAGGTCACAGACTCACTAGAGCACACACTAGATAGACCCACGGCAGTCTATCAAGCTACAAACTTGCACTTTTTCTTATCACTTGGGAACACGTCTCTAATTTGTAGTCAACGTCTCCTGGATGGATTATGAATTGAACTCACATCCCTCCCCTCTACTTTGTCTAATGTGATGGGCTTCCGTAAATCTCAAGAACCCTGAGTCTCTGAACAGGTGGTCAGTCTGGCTCCACTTAGCTCTGTACTTTGTGTGGTCCCTGTCCTCCAACTTTTCATGCCCAAACTCTCTCTGGCGTGACCCATCATTTCTCAGATTATAATCACCCACTTGGATAAATTGATTTTTCCTTCCTTCCTCGACCCACAGAATCATGTACTTTTTGCTGAAACTTTTACTCGCTACAATTCTCCACCTTCTGAACATGCCAGATCACCACATTCTCAAGTCCATAAGCAGTCACTTTCATGCTGGTTTTGTTTATTTGATGAGCTGTATTCCTACCGTGTTGCTCTAACTGCCTGTGAGCCCTGAAGCTCCAGTTACATAATGAACATTCCTGATCTCTCTACCCCACAAAAAAGTGAGCATCTAGGCCAGGGATTCTGGCCTCGCCTGTTTATGCCAGCAGCACCTAGTGCCGTGCCTGGCATGCAGTGACATTAATAAGTGTTCAATGGGTAATGTACAGGAATATAACCATTGGAGTGGACAAGTCCACATGACCTGGGATTTTTTTGTCCCTGACTTACGTCTTCCATCCTAACCACGCACCCTTCACTCATGGCCTCACCCAGGTCCTGTAGTTCCCGGGTTTGTTTATCCAGGAGATCCTCTATGCGTTCATGATGCAGTATGTCTTGCTTTTCTTTTTCTGTCTTTAAAACCTAAAACACAGAGTCAAATGCTTTCCTTTCAACACATCTGCTGAAGGCAGTCTGAGGGCAAGAACTAATACACAAGGAACATTCTCCTGCACTCACAGACACCTTTTAAGCCCCTGTTTTGCACCAAGAGGAAGTCACCACTGAAATGGCACTTTTTATTTATATCATATCCGGCTCTGAAAGTCTGGCCTGTTTCCTACTTATAGCTGTTCTACCAAATGGGTTTTGTCAAGGATGACAGATATAAGCGGGAAACAGACATACGAACATTTGGGTATGTAAAGGCTTCAAAAATTAAGTGTGTTCTTTGAGCAGGAAAGCTCCTTGAAGGTAACGGTGGCGCCATCCCTAGGAACTCACAGAGTGCTTGCTTCTAAAGGGCACTGAATAAATGTTTACTGATGGACTGAAGGAATGACTAAAATTAATAGTCAGGAGTCTTTCAGTAAGCTCTCTGACCCATGGAGATAATATAAAGGAACAAATATCCCTTTAACAAAAATTAGAGATTTTACATGTGGGGCCAGACAGATTAATATTAAAGACAGAGAAAAAGATTCTGGGAGAGTACTGGACCACATCTAACTCTGTGGAGCACTTTTAGACTGATTTTATTTAACCTCTTGACAATTCAGACATCAATATACTGATAGCTTTTCCCTATACATACTTTTTCTTTTTGCATTTTGTTTTTATATAAATCTATCATGTCATTGTAGAGAATTTTGAAATTATAGCAAATGATAAATAAAATTTAAATGATCTATAATCCCAACTACCAAAGACAATTATACAATCAGCTATGTTCTGAAAATTATTTTTAATTTTATCTAATTAGTACCATACACTAAGAGTTTTAAAGCCTGCTTTTGTTCACTTTGTACTTGCAAGCATTTCTGATGTTCCCAACTGCCTTAAAACATTACATTCTCATACATCCTATTATTAGGAGCTCTGGTAGCATAATGGGTGAGGAATTAGACTGCTAACTGCAAGATCAGCAGTTTGAATCTACCAACTGCTCTGAGGGAGAAAAATGAGGCTTTCTGTTCCTGTAAAGATTTACAGGCTCTGAAATCCTATATTAGTTGGAACCAACTGGATGGCATGCAACCACCAACTACCATATCCTTTTATTAGATTGTAGCTTGAGTAATATATGCTACTCCTATCTTGAGTACAGTGGACATTTGTGGTTCTTTGTGGGTGTTGGTGTAGTCTCTCAAACAGACCTGGTTTTTTGTTTTTAAGGATTCCATTTCCTGGATGAACTTGTCTGTTAACTCCTTAATCTTCTCAGAATAGTTCATATCCTTTAGTCGAAGTTGATACTCATTCTCCATTTTTAATTCATCCACACGAGTCTTCAGATCCAACATAACCTGAGCCTTTGGAAGAAGGGCACAGAATCAAGAACATTCACAATGTGAGCGAACTGGGATGTTTAAATGTTGAGCTTTGACCTCTCTGAGATATGCAGCTTTGCCTAGCCTCAAGCTCAACATGTCTCAACTAAAACTTGTCATCTTTCCCCCAGGAGTCACATTGGCTGAAACCTAGTCAACAGATAAGCTTCTTCTTTTACCCTAACAATATCTATTGTGATCACTACTGTGTGTGTGCCAGGCATTGTGCTAATTAACTCCTTTATCTCCATCAAACCTGTTCAAAGTCACCTCAAGGACACCTACTTTGATCACTCTTCATTCTGGTGTCCTGTACAGGGGGGTTCTGGTGACAGCAGATATCTGGAACCTACATGCCCAGTACAATAAGATACATCTCAACTTAAAATCACTCATCCAGCTCTCTTTGTTGTTGTTAAGTGCCATCGAGTCGGTTCTGACCATGTGCAAGGCCAGGGAGGTCAGCACAGGACTGCTAAGGGCCCTGCACGTGAAGTGGCATAGGAGTGCAGCAGAGGGAGTGGAGGTCAGGACTGGGTAAGGCCATCAAGATCCTTGTAGGTCATGCTGAGGAATTTGAATTTTACTGTAGAGATCTCTGAAGGTCCACATCTAAGTGGCTTAAGCTGACTTTGGAGTTGTGACAACCTCTCTGATGGCAGTGTTTGGAATGGAGCACAGAAGGACAGAAGATAGGGTGAGTAGTTGGGAGCTATTGCATAGTCCAGTTGATAGCTGATAAGAGATTGAACTAAGTAAGAGAGGGGAGCAGATAGGATTGAAAAGATTTAAGAGAGGTATTTTATAGTGGGGTCAAGCTGAGAAAACCAGGGATGAAAACTGTCTCCTTGGCTAAATCTTCTACTCCTTGAGGGTTGGACTTTGCCAATCTTCCTTTGCTGCTTTACTTCCAGAGCCTGGTACAGAGCCAGGAACATGAGCTGTGTGACATAGATATTTATCTGATAAATAAATGGTCTCAGGGGTCTGCCATGGACTAGTGTAATGCATTTATCGGAAGGTGCCCTGGGTTGAATTGTTTTCCCCCAAATATGTGTTAACTGGGCTAGACCAGGAGTCTGAGAATTATGGAAATATTCTTCCATTTTATGATCTGATCGAATTACCCTCCATTTTGTGGTAGTATGTCATCAGCTCTATGGTAGTCGGAGTGGAGCTCTCTATTCTCTGTCCTTTATTTTCTTTGTTGCAAATCCTAACCTCTCTGAGGGAGCTTCAAAAAGCTTGTGGAAAATGGAATGAAAAGAGAATGGAATTTTCCCACAAACTGTTTGAAGGTCTTTATGTATGTTGATGAGGCAGGACTGTTGTTGTTGTTATGTGCCATGGAGTCGGTTCCGATTCATAGTGACCCTGTACAGGGTTTTGGAGGCTGTAAATCTTTATGGGAGCAGAATGCCTCATCTTTCTCCCGCTGAACAGCTGGTAGTGTCGAACTTCTGACCGTGAGGTTCGCAGCCTGATTTGTAACCACTATGCTACCAGAGCTCCTTTAGGGTGGACTATATCTTGAGTCTCACTCTTATAAGAATTACACCTTTAAAATTGCAATCATTGCAATGAAACGACGAATATAAAACCGATGTTCTCCCATGGAAACTAAGTTCACAAAAACTTAAAAAAAAAAAAAGAATTGGACTTCTACTCAAGTCTCACCCTTCCTTGAGCCACCACCCTTATCGGATGCAAGGGGAGTTTCTTGAGGGTGTGGCTGTATCCAATATTTATGGGGGTGTCCTGGAAAAGCTCTTTTTTGATCTGGATCCTGCATTTGACTCATCATCATCTGATCTCTGGTTGTCTGACCAGCCAATTTTGGGATTCACCAGCTTCGGCAGCCTGTGAGCCAACAGTTTGTTGCCTGACCTGCCACTTGTAAGTATGTCAACAGTCAGAGAAGCTTCTGGCGGATGCTTGACCCACAGATATGGGACTTGCCCTTCTCCCAAATGTGTGAGCCATTTCCTTGAATTAAATCTCTCTCTCACTCTTTCAATTTAGCGGAGCCATAGTGGTGCAATAGATTGTTAGGCTGCTAACCATAAGGTTGGTAGTTCAAACCCACTAGCTGCTTTGAAGGAGGATGATAAGGCAATATGCTTCTATAAAGATTTACAGTCTTCAACAGCCCAGGTATCAATTCTATTCTATCTTACACAGCCGCTCTGAGTCTGAGCCAACTCTATGTAGTGGGAATGGAGCTCTTATACAAGGGGCTTCCAAAAACTTGTGGAAAAATGGAATTGGAAAATTTCTATGAACTTTTCAAAAAAATTCTATATAT